GCACTGGGACAGAGATGCCCAGCAGGGTCCTGGCCATCTCCCTGTCCAGCCCCACACCAATGATCTGTGCGCTGTGTGCTGATGAATTAGGATGTCCACTGGTGTTTTAATGACTCTTCTTCCTGGGCTGCTTGAGATTGAGAAGGTTATCTTCACAAGGAAAAGCCTGCAGAATATTTTAAAATTAAATTAACGCTTGTAATGCTTTGCAGAATATTTAGGACATGTAGTGATATTGTGAGAACACCTTGTACCCACTCTCAGCTAAAGCCTTGGAGTTGCCCTGCAGCATCAGAGGAAGGTTTACATTTAAAGGGGGATGAGCTGAGCTGGCAGCCCTGCCAACCTCTCTCCTTTCCACCTACCTTGAAGAAGATCCAGTTCTCTGCCTTCTACAGCAGTAGAGGGGCACTGGTTTGCATGGAGTGTGTGTATGACATGGGTCTTCAACCCAGCACCCTGGTCTTGCATCTGGGACACTTCCAAACTTGAGACATGATTAGGTTTGGACTTGGAATGATGTCTGTGTTTCTTTAAAATGCCTGTCTGCACCAGAGAGTGCAGGAGGAAGACTAAAGCTTCTAAAATCCTAAATGCTTCTCTCCTAATGCATATTTTCTCTTGAAGCCGTGTAAACACCACACACTGACCACAGGCACTAATAGTGGTCTTCCAAGGTGGTGGTGTCTGTGTCAGGTGCCAAACACCGCCTGACTCCTGCAACTATAAAAATCAATCACAGCAACAGATAAAATCAACTCCAAATGAAGTGCTTTCCATGTCTGGCAAATATTGCATCTGGCTGCCAAGGAAATGATGATTTGTTTCTAAGGGACAGTCAGGGGGCTGAGGTTTGGAAATGGTGCTATTCGGGCTCTCAGGAGAATTGGCAGCTGTAGATGAAACTCCACCACCATCTGCTGGACAGACCGGAGATGGAGCTGGGCTCATTTGTGTTTGGCTATCAGCAAAATGACAAAATCCCTCTAAAGAAAAAAGTTTAACATGCCGGGACCAAAGTCCTTAATCCCTTTTTTTCAGCTGTTGGGAATTTTTTTCTACCCATGGACCTAAGTGGCCACTACACATCTCCTTTGGAAAGTCTGATTTTATTTCATTTTATTGTAGATAGATCTGCCCTCTCAGCTACTCACCCCTTCTCATGATTTACAACAGCCTGGTCACTTCCCTGGGGATTACCTGCAGGAGGTGCAGCATATCCAGAATTTCCTGCACTTTCCAACTAATGCCGAGTCTTCAGCAGGGCACGACACACCAGGCTATTGCAGCAGCAATGTCTCAGGCCTGCTGCATCATTTAGATCTGATTCTTTAATAAATGAAGAATTGAGGCTTTAAAAAGAGATAAGGAAGCCTTGGACTGCCTTGCTCAGACTAATCCTTTAATGGTTGAAAATGATAGACAAGCTGCTCCAATTTCTTATCTAGCATTTTTCTTTGAATTATTAATAACCAATTCGTACTTAATTTACTTAGTTCAGAAAATTAACTACATGTGTCACTGATTCCAACATTTTTCATTTTTATTGCCTTCTGCATCAACAAAGGGATAACTTCATATAAACCAATTAAAAGACAAAAACACACACACAACCTCCTGCCCTGGTTTGCTCTCCCAACTCTCTGGAGTATATCCAGAAATATTAGCTTCTAATATTTCTATGCTTCTTTGCTTCAGACTTCTTTAAACTACAGCTGGGGTTAATGATTACAGCTGATAAATGGATAGAATCCCCCTAATACTTAAACCAGTTTTACTAGACAAAAACCAGTTTTACTGGACAAAAAGAAACATTTTGGTGTAAAAGGGACAGAATCTGCAGTTTTGAGGGAAAAATGGAGGAGTTTTAAAACCAAGCACCAGAATTAAATCGCACTATATTTAAGTATTACAAAAATGTAAACACGTCTAAACTTCCTCATCTCCTAGAGAAGGGAACATTCATTTTATTACATGCAGTGATTTCTTTTAGGGAGGTTAAAAAGTAATTTTCAAATAATGTGCCGTGTGGTAGGGCTTCGTCAAAATGTAATTTCTTCACATATAACATATAATTCTGCAGCATTAAAAGTTCATCTCATTGAGTCAAGTTGATCATTTTCAAAAATAACAACACTTATTCAGGAAAACAAATATTACTGGACTAATCAAGCTGGTCTCCAAAAGGAAGAGAAGGTTAATTACATTTCAATGACAGGAGAACGAAACGTCACCAACACTTCAGATCCAAATGTTTTTTGGAAAGATTTTATAGAAAACTCTTGATAAAAAGTTTGTTCAACATTTTCAGCCCTGGAACTGAACAAAGCCACTACTTCAATGCAAAGTTCTTCTTCAGATTTACGTCTTTCCCAAACACCTTGCCAAAATAAGAAAGGGAGAAACATACCTGCTTTTTAACAGTTTCTACAGACTTTCTGATAGGAAAAAGAAAAAAAAAAAGGATAAAAAATACTAATTAATTTTAATTACCATGTCTGGATTTTCAAGTAGCTTATTCTTATATTCTGGGGGCTCTGTTTGAATGAGAAAGCTGAGTCACCCAACCAAATAATTGCTGTTAAGAAAGATAATGATAAGGACCTGGGAACAGGAACAATCATGGGCATGACGAGTGTCTGAACTTGTAGCACACTGGAAAAAGAAACTGGGGAAAGTGGAAGCTATAAATGGCCAGCCAGACAGTGAGACAAAAGGAGCGAATTGTAGGTAAAGGTGCTGAATTATGGTAATTAAGTCTAATGAAGGGGAAATATCAACACAGAAAAAAGCTTTTACAGCTCTCTGACGGGTAGTAGTTTAATTGGTTCTCTCCATCCTGCAGAGACAAGAGGAAGTCTGATTCAAAAGAGCTGAGCGCTGTGGCCAAAATTAGGCTTCAGCTACATTTAAAACACACATACATTAGCATGGCCATAAGGTGAGCCTGTGAAACTTTTCACAGATATGCAAAATGCTTAACTGGGGAATTAAACCAATCCATCAGCTGCTCTTCCTCAGCCTCATCTGAAGGACAACAAATCAAAGGTGTGACACTGTTTTCAGAGATGCTCCAGCTAATGGTTAACAAGCCATCTTGGGTACCAATTACATAGCAGCCAGCACATACACAGTACAGAGCTCTCTGAAAAAGGCTGCTTAAGCATTTTTGGGGAGGATCATGGAAAATCTTCCAAAGAAAATCCATTATGCTAAAGTAATGGCCTGTCAATTCTGTGGCATTTATAAATGCTGTTTTCTTTGGGTAGATACAATCACTGGAGCCAGAACTCCAGAGATAACACAACAGTGAAGGCAGTAGTAAGCCCAAAACTCAGGAAATCTCTCTTGGCTTTCTGTATTTCCGAAGCAGTGCCAGAGTTAAACTGTAAACTTTTAACAGATTACAGGGTTAATTTCTAATTTATTATTGCAATCTGAAACAGTGTGGAAGGTGAAATGCCAGGGGCAGGATTCCTCAGCCCTTTTCCAGTCACCAGATATTTTACTGCTGGCAGAGGTAGGAGGCACCGACGTGAAAATGCTCACACAACACTCAAGACCGAGCAGAGTCACAGTGACATGATCTGGTTTCTTCCCTAGTCCTTTCCTGCTCCCTGCTGGCACTCCATCTGCTTTTTGCCCAGCTGAGACACTAAGCAAACATTTTTACAGACCAACCTTAGTAACTAATAGTTATACAATAATTAACTAAATAGTCTATGTTTCATTAACTGTCAGTGCTTTGTGACAGATGAAATCTGAAAGTCTCTTTGGGATTTATGGTCTCTCAGGTCTGAACTCTGGAGTAACACACAGCAATGAACATTTCATACACGTTTCTTCAGAAAGAGATGGAAAGCCCCTTAATCTAAGGACAGCATCAACTATGATACTTTTCAAACAATTACATTAAGAGGTTGGCCAACTCAAAGAATAATAAATAAGGACAGTAATTCTTGTGCAGTGATTGCAAAGCACAAAGAACATCTATAAAAGAAGACTGAAAAGAAAATGTTTCAAGCAGCAATTCAGATCAGTGTGGATCTTACCTTGAAAATACAGGGCTGCTGAAAACATGGTGTAACATAAGAGAACAAAGCAGAGAGCTCAAAGCAATGATCCTTCCAAATAAGCCTGACAAGCTTTTATTACAGAAAAACTGAATTAAGCAATAACTAGAGATAAGTGCTTTATCTGACATTTGGGATTTCAAAAGACTGAGAAATAGGAAGACATTTACAGAAAGAATAAAATGTAAGGTCACCACCAACAAGAATTGGGTTTTATTCAAGCTATTGGCAATAATTGAATTTTAAGTTTCCTGCTCCAGCCTTGAGTTGTCAATTAGGCAAGCCTTGCTTGCATGTGAACATCGCTAGAGGCCTCTTAAAGAATCAGCTGATTATAACTTTTTTTTTTTTCCTGATGAGTGAAACAGCATCCCTCCTTCTCAATTTAGGTAATGATCATCTATGCAGGTTTTATTATATTAAAGCCCCAGTCCAATTAATTCACATTTCCAGATGCTGTCACAATTGCTGACAGGTGCTTATTGAACTCCAGGTCAGCTTGAAATCACCACAAGAAGGCAGAGTCTGCAGCATCAGAGCCATCCCAGGCTCCTGCATGACACACACACTCCCCCGTGAGGTGAGGAACTCCAGAAGAACTCCACGTACGTGAACCTTGCAGGGATGGGGAAACAGAGAAGCAAAATGGCACCTCCATTTCACAACAAAAGAGACAGTGGCTCAGGAGTCAGGATGTCACCTCAGTTTGCTTTTTAAATGGCCCTGCTCTAGCATGTACACTGGTAAGAGATGTACCTACAATGAAAGCTTTTCGTGGTTTAATTTCAGAAACTCCCTGCAGTGGGACAAACTTAGTGAATGAATTATCTTAGTAAGTTATTTAAAAAAAACCAATAAAACAGATAGGAAAAAAACCCCCCAAAAAACCACAAAAAAACCAAAAGAACACTGCAAGAGCTTGTTAAATGTCATATTAGCAAACAGTTTAATTTATTAAAATGACTCCAGTACACCTCTGTGCTTCTAAAACAGACACGGCATTACACATAACAGGTAAAACGTGGTAACATTCTCAAGTCAGAAGTTCCTGGCTCAATAGCACAGAAACACAACAGCAACAGTATCTTATTATCACCTCCCAGCTCAACATTCTTCTACACTGGTGACTCAGATGCTTCTCTGTGGAGCAGGCAGTTGAATGCAAGTGTGTGCATATGCTTCCTAGTCAGAGAGGGGTGAGTAAAGCCCTATGCTGTCAAAGGGAAGGCAGCTGTGCCTCCAACCTCAGTGTCAGTAGAAAGTAAATACACTAACAAGACTATGATCAGTGGGGCCCTGGATTGCTGTGGCAGCACGGCAAGTGGGATTCTGCATTTCCATCACTCTAAAAATGTGAGATCTACAGGATATGTATGGAAAGATTTATTTTCTCACATCATGAAAGATCCTGGCCCAAAAAGACTTGCACACCTGAGTATTATGCTCATATGAACAATGAGATTCATGTAAGTCTTTATAAGAGTTTTAAAATACATTTGTGGTAATTCAGGGCCAGTCCTTTCTTCTTTACTGGTTAACTTTACCAAAATCAACTCAACCTGGATTTCTATCAGCAAAGGAAATATGAGAAGTTAATAAAATCATAAGACACTGAAGGTGTAAATACAGTGCAAGTGTTGGGTTTAGTTTTTGATTGTTACAGGCTGATAATTTTATATTCTGTGCTTTAATTTCAGGGAAAAGCATAGATGTTGTGTGTCATAACATACACACTTGCATATATACATGTGTACATACACACTTGCAGCAGAATGCAAAGGCTTCCAGTGCCATATGATTCGTAGTACCCATCTCCCACATGCAGGTTTTTTCCATACAAAATAAACCAATTTTAGAGGTGCCCCCTCCCTCTGCATATATATGTATTCATTAATGTGTATTCACATGCATTATTGCCCTACCCACTCACTGATTTATATTAACCAGATTTATTTTTTTATTTTTTTTTTTTTAATATAAGCCATAAAGTATCTTAGTTGCAACACCTAGCCAGAACACTCCAGTGACCACAGTACTCCTGGGTTTTATGGTAACTAATACCTCCATTGGCAAAACATAGTAATAAAATGCCCCAAGTTTTGTTTGCTTCATATTGCTTCATTTTTAAAAAACTTTTATGTACAATCTTCGCTGTTAGTACACTCCAGATTTACTGAAATGCAGTAAACTATGAGAGCTTGTTATTCAGAAGCACCTAGTCTTTTTTTGACATTAAATGGAAGCCATCAGCAACAAACGTTGTATGGAGAATTCATCAGGTGAAGGAACAGTGCACATCAGAGAATATGAGATGAAACTGCTTCCTTATGTTAGAAGACTTCACAAAAATTATGTGCGATGTAGCCACTGTCCTGCTGAGACAGCAGAAGGACATAGGAACACAAGCGACTCTAGGGTCAGTGTTTATCCACATTAATGTAGCTTTGGTTCAGAAATTCTTTAAGTGTTGTAGAGCACCTGGTTTAGTGACAAAACACATGCGTCTCACAGTGCTAACAGTATAATGCTAACAAACTATAAACTGCAGGTTTCAAATATTAATAGCATTTAATAAAAAAATTTACAGAAATATTCTTGTTGACAAATGTGCAGTACAAATGCAAGGTCCTCGGCCACAAAGTCTAATTTCTGTGCATCAGTTTTGTGCTGGCATAACAGTGCAAGTGCTGGGATTCAAGTATGCTTTTCCATATTTATGTTAAGCAACAGAGATTACATGATGAAGTTTGGGGGATTTTCTGCTCACAAGGCCAGGACATGAGAATCAAGCAAAAGCAATGCAGTAACTGAAATGTTTGATTTCCCTCATCTAGAAGTATCACCTTATGTAGAAGGCAATCTAAAGGAGGGAAAACACATTTCACAAGCAAACCAGCTTCACATACCACCAAGGTACTGCTTCAGCTGGAACAGCTGTTACTAAAATACAGGACTACAAGTTGCAATCTGATCTCCACTCACATGAAGAGAAGACGAAATCTACAGTGCAAGTCCTCCATGCAAAAGGATCAAATTGCAAGACCAGAGTCCTGCTTCATAGGACAGAATTTATTCATCATTCAGTTTTGTTTATGAATTATATTTTTTTTGTCAGTTAGATCACAGTCAAAAATACACTGTTTATATTTCTGTGTTTCTAGCGGTACTACTTCATGCCAATTCTGATCTGTTCAGCAACAGAATACAATATGAACATTTGTTTCCAAAGAATTGCTGAAGTTATTGCTGAAATTTTCAGAGCCAAAATTAAAAATTATTTCACCAAATCAAGCCTTTACTCCACTTAAAAAAAAAATCTGACATTCTATTAATTAAAAAACAAACAAACAAAACACTCCCCAAACTTAACAGTTTTTTTCAATTAAATAATAATCTAAGATAAGATATTCACATTCAGGCAACTGTCTCCTGACTTTCACCTGGCTGAGTGACAGATGCCACAATAAAAACAAGAACACTTACTCTCACATTCTTCCTGACAGCAGTGATTAGTGCAATTTACCACTGCACTACACAGCTCTAATAGTGCAAGGTGTGCCTGCTGACGTTTCTCACAATCTTCTGCTACATGATGGTTATTCTCAGATGTCTGTAATTGTAATTCTCATTAGAATTTTGGCATTTATGTTAACATTTATGAAAAACTATGGCTTTATCCATGAAATATATAGCCTGCCTAGGCAAAAATTTTAAACCATTTATTTAAAACAATAAAACGGAATTTGAATGAAAGTTACTTGTTTATGCCATAACCTGTGTTGCCACTAAACTCAAGATCTCAGGATTAGCTACAGATCACTAATGTGTGTACTTGTGCACTTGTTACAGTCTTTAAAAGTGTATTTAAAATGTAACACTGATAAAACTTCACTCTTCATTTTACATCTAATTGTAATAATTTATCCTTTTTTTTTTTGCAATTTCTTTAATTACTTGTATCCAAAGTGTCATCTGAGTATCGCTGTATTACAACAGGACTGGGACTGTAAGAAACCCATAAATGCAAATACAAGAAGGCACTTGTCTTCCAGTAGTTCAAGTCAGAGAAGGCCTTACCCAGACAGTGGCACCTTACACTTTGAAGGATTAGCAAATGTCCCCAGGCTTTGCCACAGTCTCAAAACCTGTCTTCGTGTCCCTGGACAAGGTGCTGTACGTGGTCTATAATACCATGAAGCTCATGACGAATTCCAGTAGTTTCTGCCGGTTGCGCTGAGGTAGGAACGTCGTGCTTAGTTCCAAAATGGTGTCTTTGCTTTGCTGTGTCTGTTTGAAAACCTAAAACACAGCAAGAACGCTATGTGAGTATCATCACATTAAAGGAATCTCCTTTCTTTTGTGATTAAAGTTTTACAGCCTACACTAAGTTTTCCCTCATTTATAAGACTTTTTTCTTTTTTTTTCTCCTTTCTTGAAGGCTTAGGTACCAATGCCTTTAGGTATTATTAGAATCCACCCAATGTTCAAGTGGTATGGAAGAAGAGAAACTGAGAAGTAAGTACAGTGTACGATAAACAGACAACTCTTCACAGTGAGAGTTAAAAAAACCAATTAAAAGGCATCTGAATTGAAAGTGTGAGCACTCAGAAAACCAGAATTCAGATGCTGTGCTCTACATGGATGCTCAGCAGATGCCACCTAGTTTCACTTCTTTTAGTTTATCTTGCTGTTGGAAAATGATGGACTTGATACACACTTTCTTGACAGCTCTTACATTTATAGGAAGATATCTTTACTATAGGCCACCTATTGTTAAATAATCTAACACATCAGAACTTAAACACAAAGGTTTCAAATACCATATCTAGCAAAATTTTGCCTCAATGATGATACTTTCAAAATTACAATGCTAAATCCCATCTGGAATTCAGGAAGCCATGTCATTCCGACGAAGGAAAAACGCTTCACTTACAAAATCTACAGAGGTGATTTAAAATTCAAAATGGTACTGGTAATATGCAAAATTTAATGTTTAAAGAACGCCTGTATCCTTATGGCGGACACTGGAGGTCTCCAAGGATGGTTGGATCAATCACTGCTAAGCCAAAATTCAGTAACTAATGCTTTTTTTTAAGATTAAATAGTCTTCAAAATTAAATTTAGCTGTTAATAAGCACAGAACATGCTCTCAGCCTTTCAGTATTGTTCAACAGGGACATGGAGTAGAGCAGAGGGACTTCATTTTGTGAATAAAAATGTCTGGTCACCCAGCCATTGAGACAGATCTTCCCAGGGGCAAGAAATGCCCTGTTCTGCAACTTGTGCTCTTTCTTTTACAGCCCTGAGCCCGAAGTAAACCAAAATGCTAAAAACCCACAATGCATTTCCACAGACACATTCACAGATTTTAAACTCTCACTGAAGAGATGCCTTGAAATGTCAAAATTGCGCTCATTATTAAAATGAAACTTAATAGTCATGAGATTTGAGCACCAAACACTTACCCCAATTTCCTTGAACACTTTCACTGCATTTTTCACATGACTGTAGGTAGCACTCTCAGCTGCAAGAAAGAAAACCCAGGGATAAACAAACTGCCATTCAATTTGGGCCATCTTGTGGTAGGAAGAACAGAATGAACCAAATTCAGTTCTAAAACCAGTTTAACATACCATATACAGCAACGTTCTTCTCCGTCCTGCTTATTAAGTGCTTGTGCAGCTTTTGAATATATTCAGATTCTAAAACAGGACCACTAAAATTGTGCACAAAGATGACAGCAGAGCTATATGCCTCCAGTAAAGGTCCCAATAATCTCTGCAGGAAAGTGATGTACTGCTGGTGCTCTTGAGACTGGCTCACCTAAGAGAGGGCAACAAAAGGTTCAGTGACAAAGACCAGTAGAAACAACAGACGATTCTGCAAGAAATGCTCTGCAAGACAGAACATGGCAAAATGGCAGCCAAAATATTTCTTTGTACAAGAAGGAGAATGGGGGCACAGAACATCATGGAAGCACAGCAAAAAAGCAGTTTACCATGAGGGACAAAACAGGCAATGCACATCACAGATCAATGCTATTTTTGATCCTCCGGTGTATTACTATTTTTCTAAGATAAAATAAAGACATCATCCAGTTCTGCAGCCAACAGAAGGGTTGCCTTGCATTCACAGAGATGGACAGATGTTTTCAATTGTTAACAAGATGTCCTAAAGAGTGTTTGTGTCAGCTCAGTGAGAAAACTGGTAATATATCTAAAATCAACATGAGTAATCTATGAAGTGAAATATAGGCTGAATATAAATACCAGCTCAGTGTGCCCCTTTTAGAGTGCATGCAGTCAGTAAGGACTAAAACTGAGATACTTGAGTATTTATCAGTTTTCATGACTCTAATAATTGCTCTTCCATCTCCCTAAAAGATTATTCTTCAGCTGTTTTCGTCGTGGAAAGGACAGAAAGGTATTTTGCTGACTGCACAAAAATACTACAGACGAAGACTGCAAATCAACAACAAAACGATAATAAAAACAATCAAACAACCAAACCAAACCAAAACCAGAAAACCAAAAAAAAAAATTATCATTACCCATCCCGATACAGTAGTTTGTATCTCTCACAACAGAGTTCAGTATTATCAGCCTTAGAGAAATATTACCTTCAGGTAGCAATCTCTCTGCTCTTCTCCAAAATCGCTGTCTTCATCTTCCTCGTCACTTCTCCAAGATAATGGCTCAGGGAGTTTTTTATTCCACTGGTGTTCTGTAAGACTGGGGCTAACATCCTCCTGATCATCCTGCTTAAATTTGAAAGACAAGGCAGTAAATAGGTAAAAGGTCCAAATCAAGGCAAGCAATAGGTTTATTTTATAACCTCATCTAACTAAACCAGTGTGTTTATTAACCAATATTTAATGGAAGCAGGTGAGACTCAATTATAGACAGAATTGAGAAGGGAGAAGACAAATTTAGTGGAAAAAAATATTTTTCTTTAGTTTCCCCGTTGCTTTAAAGTCAAAATCTTTGCGAGTGTTGCTGAATCTTCCTACCAGAGGCCATGCCATAGCAGCTGCCAAGCAAGTGTTTTCAGCTGTGTTAAGACAGACAATAGAGAAGCTCTCTGGATGTGGTGCTAAGCTCTGTACTACAGTTGCCTCAGAGTAGTAAACTCTGCGTTATTATATTACAATAGCTAAAAACTCACTGCAGAATGCTACAAGTTGCTGTTTGAAAGTAGTAACTTATTGCCTCTAATGATGCTGCCCTTGCATTTGTCCCCATGTGAGATAAGGGCTGCAACAGAATGAGCCAGTTTAAATCAAGAAGGCCACAAATTATTTAAACCTTGATTACGTTGACGCAGGTGTGTCACAAGTTCAGGTCTGCAGTAAATGAGGTTCCACAGATATACTCCACCTGACCAATGAATGTTTGATGCAACATTTAATTTTAACAATGCATCTTCAGAAATGAGTTTCAGGGATATAAAACACACAGAGAGACTTTACAGTCAATCATTCACCATTATTTGTTTTGCTCAAAGCAGCAGAATAGAAAGATTTTTCAAAGTTCAGCATTGCTGAGTCAAAAATGAAATACCCCTGTATATTTATTTCATGTAGAAATGGAAGTAAGATTAAAATTAAATGGATAACATATGTATTTCATGAGATTACTGTGATATATTCATGAGAAAGAAAAAGGCCTCTGCAGCAAGTGAAGAATGACATCCTTCCAGTCTTGCACTCTGATAAAATATTTTATTTTGAATAAGCAAAGGTCATAAAACAACTTCTAAAAAATACCAAAGAGTGTGTTAGGAATATTCTCCAGTTTTTGAAGTAGACACTAGAATCACAGAAAAAGAATTTTTTAAAAAACCATGGGTCAGTCAGGCTCAATTTATCGGGAAATTGATTGAGGTGTTAATGTCAGCAGTAAACTCAACTCATTACAAGGGACAGAAGCTATCCACCCTTCTTAAAGAACAGGCTGTAAAAACCCCACAAGCATTGCCAACCTCTCTGAGGTTGTGAAACAACCATTGCTTACAGTGTTCACCCTGATTATGCAAATTTTTAACATTTTAAAAGCAGGTACAGAGGTCTCCCAAGTTTAAAAATTTAATGATGGACTACATCTAATTTTTCAGCATTCAGATGTTGCACTGGTGGTTTATATCAGACATTACAGACAGATATTTCTATACTGCCTAAGAGCTAACTATCTCACAGCTATAAACAGTGAAGTACCAAACACAGCAACCAAAACTTACAGAAGAACCCTCAGGATCAATTTCATTCTTAAGTAGACAGAGAGGTGCACATCTACCTATTTTCCTCATCTGTCCCCAGGCATGGAACAAACAAGTTTCTTCCTAAATTCTGATTAGCATTTATTTTTTTAACTAATGATGATTGCAATCTAATGCATGACAACAGATGAGTAGTTCAGATAAAAAGGAACCAGCAGTAACTCCAAAGAAGGAGAATGTTTTATATTCAGGTATATCAAGTAAATAGTACTTATGGTAACAAACATTAAAAATGGAAGCACGTATCAAAAGTCATGTGCTACAATTAGAGTGAAGCCATGGCCATTAACAAATACATCAGAAGCAGCTCTAACCTCCTTTGAGACTGGAGGGCTGCAAGAAGAAAGCAGCCAAACATGTAACTCCTTTTCCTCATGATCTTTACATTTTCTTGCTTCTTCCTAGAGGGTGCCAAGGTTTGTTTACAGCGCACAAAAAAAGCTTGGGAAGAAAAGATATGCTGAATCAGCTGCCCCTGCTCCTCAGGTTTTCTTTACGCTGCACATCTCTGACAGATGGCACCATACAGTGACTCCCCTACAGCCCTGAAACTGCAACCTGGGCCAGCTGAGGAGATTTTACAGTAATTCCAAGATTTATGCAAAGGAATCAAAGAATGACAAAAGATATTGACTCCTGAATTCTGTAGAGTAGAAAGCAAACATCCATGCAGTTATGGCTGCAATTGAAAGGGTTCCAATAATAAATTAAATCCCAGTTTTACAGGACAGTACCAAAACATGTGTCTTCCTTAGTAGGCTTATTGGTACAATGAAACTACACACGGAGTCATCAAGCATCAGAGGATGATTACATCCAAATGTCTGGCACTTACAGACAGAGGAATGAAGTAGTCTCAGTCCTGGACTTGTTGTTACAAGCTTTCACTAACAACAGCTATTTAGAACAAGTCTCACAACTAAGAAGCATAAACTACCTAAGGTATAGTTCACTACTCGTATAGTATCTCTATCACTTTACCTCGGCCACCAGAAGAATCCCATATTGTATCAGCCTTTCCACGGATTCATGGCAAACTTGATAGATGACCTGGCAGGGCTGCAAAACATAAAAGAGATGCAATGTAAAAATCACATCCATTATACTCACTATAGCAACACTATTTCCTGTTCAGTATGCATGTTTTAGATACAGCAGTATTTTTCCTTTTATGCAAGCTGTTAAACTTTTATCAGCATAATCCCAATGAACCCCTCTTATGTTTATCCTGGCAGACATTAGAAAAATTATAGTGAAATGGGATCTGTCCAAGTTTTTTTAAGAAATGCATTACCACTGGCAGAAAGCCACATTAAATATTCTCCCCTTTTAATTGCCTCTAACCAAGTTTTAGTTTGTTAACAATTCTGAAACACAAACCATCATAACACTAAAATCATTGAGACTCACTACAGTGATTTATTTGAAATTTAAACAAAAGTACACTTTAAAGAAATTCCCTTACGTATTTTGAAACTCTGAATAAAAAAAAACCAACCTCTTTAACACTGTTCATAATCATGTAGGAAATATTTTCTTAGTTTAAAAAAAAATAATAATTAGTAAGTCTGAAACCAAAACGATAATATTACTAAAGAACCTCACCACATGACCTAACATTACTGCCCAGACAAAAATAGTAAATTTGGCTTATGCTTCAGTAAAAAAGGCATTAGTCAAATATGAGCACAAATTTAAGAACTAATTCAAGAATCCCTAGAATTTTACGTAATTTCTACATGTAAGAAAAAAAACCAAAAAACTAGTACCTTAAGTTTAAAGTACACAGTGTCTGAAAAACAAGATAACATCAGCTCTCTTCAGTGTTTTGTAACACAACAAAAACTGAAGTCACACCATGTTTAAAACTGCCACTAAGTACTAGGTGTGGCACACTGTGACTATTGCTCTCCTATGCAAATAAGGAATATCTTTAGAATATGGAGCCTTAGTTCCCACCATAATTTCAATCATGCAGACTTATAGCAGCTGAGTACTCTCAAAGCCTTGTGTCTGTTTAGAGAGAAAAAAAAAACCACCTTAATAGTTTGGGCAGAACACAAATATAGATGTGATGGTCTAATGACATCAGTGACACAAAATTTGTTAAGTGGCATTAAGAAGCCCACCTCGAATTGTGGGAAGCTGAGAGAGCAGCTTTTGCTTCTCAGGAAAGGCAAGCTGCAGGCTCAGCCCAGCATCACCCACTGCAGCACTTGTATGAGCAGCAGGTGGCACTCAATGTGTAACCCTGAGACTGCACTCACAGTGAACAGATCAGAGCTGTGACACTGGAAAAAAAGCATCAATTAATTTTAAAGTGACAAGCAGAACAAAAATTTGACACCTGGACAATTGATGCAGTTACTTACCAAAGACACATTAAATTCATTAGAGAGCAAGTAACACAGGCTGGCAGCCTTTCGGACCAGGTGCTCTTGACTGATCAAACTGGGAGAAGCACCACTGGTGCCATTTCTGCACCTCCTACTCTGAACTGCGTGAAGGCTGCAGGCTAGAGCAGAAACAGAAGCAAAGTTTAATTTTCCAAAGAGTTTTACAGCAAAGGGAACTTCAAACTTTCGTTTTGCCTATTTCTAGGCCTAAAAGCAGTCCAACATTACACATGCAATTCGAGAATAAAGACAGAATTCACTACTATTTTGTGTTCAATAATGTCACATCAAAAGAAAATCTCAAAAAAATGCTGCTCATCAAAGGTTTTGCCATGTTGGCTCAGAACTCTGATAGTGCCTTGCCTATGGTAGTGACCAATACACAGATACTTCCAAGAAAGATAAAGGATGAAGGGAAAAAAAGAAGAGGAAACATTCCACAAACAAAATATAAGTTTACTCGTGTTTAGTAAAAACATAGGTTGAAGCAGGGAGCGAAAAAAAAAAGTCAAAGAAAATTAAAAACTGAAGTTTTTAGTGCAGATACTTTGACTTCATGAGTTACAAGAAAGTCTTTCCTTGGTAAACCCCCAAACATACCAATAACGGCCTCTTTAATGAATACATGAAATACTCCATTGCTGTAGAAGTTGAGTTCAAAGACAGCAGGTATCGTTATGCTGGGAGTGACGAAGAACTCATTGTTTCTGCTAGTGTTTGTGATATTTACACAGTTCCCCAACAAGTGGATGGCATGCATGACAACATCATCTGAGTTCCCTGAAAATCCCAAGTCAAAGTCACGGGCTAAGACCTCCTCCTTCATGGAGAAGAAATCTTCTACCAACCTGGAAAGATCAGTTCCCTAGAAATAAACACAGAATCACACAGTGAAAGAATTGTTCAGCACAGGAGTTTATCTGTAAACCCCATAACCAGGTATACAGCAAAAACAAACAATATGCTAATTATTAATAGCCCAAAGCACAACAGTCATATCGGAAAAACTGATTTTCACTGAGGTTTGCTGAAGTAGTCCCACATGTTTTGAATCACATGCCATTATATTTTTTAAAGCCATGCAACTATTTGGGATGCAAGATTTTTGTTTGCTTCTTGGTTTATTTCACAGCCTGGAGAGACCTGAGTTGTTCTTCAAGAACACGTCAGAGATATTGGATTTCCATTACCTATGCTATAAAATGAATGCTCAATTATCTGGGAGTACTGTAATGAACAAAACTGTTCAACTGGCTTGGAATATGAGGAAAAGTCTTTGCTCAAGCACTTCCTGTTTTCTGTCGCAACAGCTTCAGATCACATTGTAAAATGCTTCTTCAATTCTACTATTTTAGGAACTTGGAAAGATTGCACTGATAGGAATGGTGATACTGCCTCCACAAGACAGATTACATATCTGATCAATATTTTTTCAATTTGTTCTTGATTTATGTGCAATACAAGCTTCAGACTAGAGGGACAAGGAATTTTAGAAAAAATGCAAAACACACCTGTAGGAGACAAAAAATTCTTCCAAGCCCCATGCAGAAGATTTGAATTAAACACTTATATCATTCTGCCATTGCGATATAATATTTTAGTACTGAGGAACAGAAAAATTAATTTGAAAATGAGCGGAAGAGTTTGGACCGTATTCAATAGCGCATATGCTTTGAGATCTAAAAAAGCCTTAAGATAAATCAAACCCATGTATTCTTTAAAAAAAAGCGTAACATTTTGAATTACATGAGCATTTATTATCATCCCATCAATAATGGCTTGTTTTCAAGCATCCATTACTAACTCAAATATATGCACTCAAACTACCTGAAATCCACTTTAATTTAAATGCATCTTTCTTCTTTTCAGTATCATACAATAGTAAAACATGCCTTTTTTTTTTTTTTTTTTTTTTTTTTTTTTTTTTTTTTTTTTTTT